ATTGAGATTTAGCAATGGTTAGCAATAGTTAAATTCCATGGGGACACGGGCCGACTAGCTTTCAGTGTAAGCAAGAGGTCTTATGTTTCATCGAATCATCCAGAACGTCCCTTAAGTCGGTGGCATCCACATTGGTGAACCTTGCGTGGTGTGAGTGGTTTGGCACGTGATTTCAACGGAAAAACTTGTTTATGTTTTGCTCATGTCCAAATGACCAAATGAGAACATTCCATTCAGTTGATTCACACTGCTGACCTGCCATGTCCATGAGCCAGCCAGCAAGTCCTTTCGTTTCTCACATCTCAGACCTTGGAGTGAGCTGATAGGACAGAAAGGCTTTGCATCCCGCTGGTGCACCGCAGAGGCGCATCAACACCTTAGGGCTTGGAAGAATGGGCTTACATCCGATTGGACGGTCCAACTGCATTCGGTTGTTGCGAACAAGATACTGAATTCAAGCTTCATTGATGTGCAAACATACAGTGCGCAAGTAAACATGAAAGTGATTGCTTGGGATGTTGGATCGTGAATGCCTCAATACTTTGTTGATGACCAGAAGATACCAGAAGGATGAAAGCTACTGCTACTTCTGCTGAGGGAAGTGGAAGATAAATGGATATTGTAGCAGCTAATTGATGGTCTTGGAGAAATGAACGAGTTCGAGTTGACCCGTCCACCCCTGACTCTGAAGAAGCCATGTTCGTTCAAACCATGGGTTCGTGTCTCTGTATCACAGTGTAGCGTACATGGTCTCCAGCGTCAGTCGTGCTTGAGACACGGCCTCCCCGCCTGCATGCAGGCCTGTGCCAAAGCTCCGTCAAGCCCAGGAAAGGCATAGATGATGTCAAGGATGAGAGTGACCTCATCAAGGAATGTCAAGTGGATGGGACTTGAATGGCCCGGCAATCACAAAACGAGTCTGAACATAACCTGCTCACATCCACATGAACAAACCTCAATCAGAGATCTGTGAGTCACCAAGCTGAATGTCACTGCTGTTGGCGCGTTAGCATCGAAATGAATGGCTGGCTCACATAGTTGACAAATGCTGAGAGCTTTGCCCACATATGCTGGGTGCCTGTTTCCAGCACCTCAATAGAACACAGCAATGGCCTCCACCCGGCCTCCAACCGAATTGTAATGGCTTCCAACCTAGAAGCGATGGCCTCCACCCTAGTAGCGATGGCCTCCAATGGCCGCCAACTTAATAGCATGGTGGGGTTAGGCTGTGGCAAGCATAAGTAAGTACATAGCTAGTAGATGCTAGGTAGCATCTTTAGGGAAACTTAGCGGTCGGCAGCCCACCCTGAAAGCCCCGCCTTTCCCATGAACTCTACTGTACGCTTCATGACTAGACTGCTGCTCAAGCTTGCTTTGATGCTGGAAATCCAAAAATGCACCATTACATTTCAGAATGACAACCGATTGTTTACAAGGTGTTGCTGTAGAAGGTGATGCAGGAGTTCTGATTCCAGAGAATCCGATGACCTATGACCGAAAACTCAAGAATGCCGTATCAGCCGCATTTCATCGGCTAAAGGTGATAACATGTGAAAGCCTGCTTTGGCGCCTGCTTGGCATTTGAAAACTTCACAAGCTCAGCCTGGCAGCTTTTGGCGTCATTGGAAGAGGTGGCTGATGGGGTAGAGGACAATAAAAGGAATGCAAACCCATCGAAAGAGAGAGAGAGAGCCAAGTCCACTCTGTGTAGCTCTCACAACACACTGATAGTCGAGAATGACACAAACGCACCATAGTTCGGGTGGTTTGCAGCTTTCAAGTGGGGACCCCGAACAGGAGTGTGGTTATCTTGTGCCGGTTTGACAGTTCCAAATTATGACTTTGCGGGGTGCTCTGTGCTGGAAGCACCTTCTTTTGAGACATCCACTTCTTCAACCAACCCAAAGCGGCAGTGTGAATCAAGAGGGTTATCCATCGAAGTTTAAAGGGATGCTTTTGGAATCTTTGGGCTGGTTCTGCAAAAACATACTCCCTGCCAAAATCTGACACACAAGCCGATGGGCGTGAAGCCACTAGCCGGTACTCTTCTCCCTAGTTATAACATCAAGGCAACTGGAAAGCTTTCACGCATCTTACCACGCAAAATGACCTAAGAAGCAGAACTATGCAGGACCTGCTATCATCGCCTGTGGTTACGTTACTCCTTCATTTTGGCTGCCCTGTTGAAACATGCAAAAATGCAAAGTCCTCCCTTCGGCATCGGTTCGGTGTCTTGTGAACTGCAGCCCCCTACAAACAGCAGACCCTGATCCAAGCCGTGCCTTGCTCAGCAGCTGTTGGGCGCAGACCTCAAATCGCCGCAGCCTGACATTCCTTGAAAAACACAATAGTATCGATTGTATCTACTTGATCGGTGTGGAACTCTTTAAAATTGTATACATTATACATGTCATGAGCAACATGACACAGCCATGAATACCAGGTGGGCCACGCCAGGAAGTTCCAGTTTTGTGGCTGGTTGCATGATTGAGTTACAGTTACACTTACACATATTCCCAGGAAAACCAGTTGCTGCATGTGTGGGCATTCACTTTTGTGAGTCACCTCAACGGTCTGACAGAATAAGGCATGTGATGGTCACAGGTCACGCAGAACAACTATCCCTAAGAACGATTGACCGTTCAGGCATTCAGAACTAGTCATCGGACATTCCCAGCGATTTCCGAGCAGCAATTTCGGTAATTGGGCTTACCTGGCAGCCCTAGTGATTGTCATGGAAAAGCATGCGTGCTGAACTGTTCAGCCACTGAGTGTACAAGGGCTCCGAGAAACCCGGGGCTGCTTGTATGCAATGGCATGACACTTTAAACATCCAGGCTTCCCCACCACAACCGGCGTAAACCACGCCGGTGCAGCAAGCAAAGGGTCACCCACTCCTCGAGTCAGAGTTGCGAGGTCAGGTGAGGTGGTGCATTTCCGGCGCATTGTTTCACAATGCCTCACAGCTGATGAGACAAGGATGAAAGAAAACAAACAGCAAAATTGTGATATAGTGGAGGCAATTGGAAAACGGGTGCAATCAGAAGTGACGGGAGTGAGGCAAGTGTGGTACATGCAATTTGGTGTGAAACATTTACATTGCCAAATCAATGTGCCAGTAGTTTGCAGGGCCTTGAGTAGTCGGTTGGGGATGGGGCGCATCATGGCACATCTCTTTGATTGCAAGCCTCTGGTCGGTGCACAAAACCCCATGACAACAAGAACAGCTTCTTCGCCCTAATTATCAAATCCAGTTTCCTTTCTCACTATTGGCTACGTGATGACGTATTTGGTCACAGGCTTCTGTCCACCACAACCGCACTGTTCCGAAAAGGCCCAAAACCCAGAACCTTCACACCCAGGCCGCTGAGGTCCTTCGGGCACTGGCGCCCGGCCAGCGCCGTGGATCAAGCGGTGCCCGCGCTCCTCAGCCCCCAGTTGTTCAGGAGCAAACAGGAACGCCCGGGTTTGCCTCTCTCCTCCAATATCTCCAATGATGATAGGAGGCACTCTGCACCCCGGCTATCCACACCCCTTGGGCATCCAGGCATCCGGAGACTTGGAATAGTCGATGCCTTGCATGCACCTGGATGTCTAGGATCTGGGGATCTGGGAGGCACCTCTTTCTGAACCATCACTGCTTCCCCAGCAAAGCCATACCCCAAACAAGGCCTTGATGTAGGTATGGTCAACAATAATCGTTTTGACGAAGGACTCATCTACAAAAGGCAGAGTTGGAGAGAACTGGAACGGCTTGCACACAAAACTGGCTTAATTAGCCGATTCAGAGAATATTAGGTACCCCGGTGCCTCACAATTACCTCACCAACTCTTCAGGCATCTTCACCCTCAGCACAGGGCCATCCATGTAATTTGATGAGCATGTCCTTCAAGTCGGCGCCTGGGCAGACAGAAGACAAGGTCTCAAGGGAAACTTATCAACTTCTATCGACTTTATTGACTCACTCGACCTATCATATTCCATATTTTGTCTTCTTTCTTGCTGCTTCCGTATATGTGCAGTATAGTCTGTTTATCTATTTCTATGTCTTTTTGCTTTCTTTGCTGCTTGCCTTTCTACAAGTATGTTCCGCTCGAATCTTACTTGATTCCAGTGCCAGGTCAAGTGGACCTCAAGGAGTGCCAATTTTGAGCGCGATGGGTGGTCAAATACCGCAGTCTCCTCCAACCCCACACAAACTCACCAAAGAATCTCTGGTGGGGAGCATTCAATAGATCGTAAAGAAAGCACCGACCTCAAATATCGAAGCTCCAAAGGCTCCCAACCAAGGACTTGAGTGGTGGCTGATCTGCGATGCAGAAGGTTCGCCAGGATCTGAGGAACAGGCTCGCCGATGACACCAAGCTAGTGGACTTTTGCATGAGTGTCCCAAAGTTGGTGAACTAAAAATACATAAGGCCAAACGGTCAACGTCTTAGAGTTCTAGTCACTAGTCTTTGATACCGACTCAGGCTGTTCCGCAGCAAACAAGCTGGGCACCTGCGGCACACAAATCAGTTTCTCCTTGGCAAGGCAGGTCAGTCCCAGCATTGAAGTCCACCCTGACTCATCTTCAATCATTGGAGCTTGGAATTGAATAGTTGACATCATTTCAAAGGCAAGTCTGAGCGCCCTGCTGGAGGCGGACTCTCTCCCAGCTCTTGCAGGCAAGCCTTGACGATGGCCTGGTGCTAGGCACGATCAATGACGATCCAAAAGCCACAGATCTCGCTAATCACTGCAGCACGCCCGCTTCTGGCCATCATGTTACTCACGAGTTGAGGCTCACCCTTAGGTCTGCTATGGATCTACCTTTATTCCTATCTTGGTTGCGGTTCATGGTGGTGCGTACATATGCACAAGATTCGACAAGCGCACCTGTTTGAAAGGAACCTGTAGCATGTGCATGCTTCGGTGTTAAGTTTCCCTAAAGATCTAGGAACCAAATGATTAGTGCGAGAGCTGAACAAGAACCCTCCCATTTTGTTGGACTCCTGGCCTTGAGATTGTCATCCGCTGCTCGTCGGCCCCACTGGCCTTTACCCAGCTTTGTGGTCTTCGCAAATTTCGCCTCCTTCAAGGCCTGTGCTTTGTTGGGGTACGTGTCGTCCTCTTGGTTCACATCGTTCTTGCCACCGCCCTTGCTGCTCTCACCGAGCTTTGAGTTTTTGCCACCTTCATCCTCATCATCCTCGGAGTCATTCCAGAACAGGCATCGGGGCAGCACAGCTTATTTATGGTACACCCAAACAAGAAAGCCTGATTTTCTTGAAAGTGTTGCCAAACAAATCAGGGCATCGTCTGCACCGTCTGTGTCTTCGTCGCCTTCCTCTTCACATCCTTGGGGCGTTCTTCGCACAACCCGAGTGATCCGTTACCGTGAGACCGAATAGTGTGAGCACTTGAGCACCCCGGTTGATACCCAGCAGCGGGCAACATCGAAGGAATATATAGCAAAATGACCAGCAATGTGTTGCAGTATATAAGGTCTTGCCCACTCACCTGAATGTTGTTTCAACAGCATAGTTTGGCATCTGTTCAACTTCTCTGAACGGATGGATTGAGATGACTTATGTAGATCCTCCATGCAACCCGGATTCTAGATGTGCCAAGACACGTGGCCATAAGGGAAAGGTGACCTCCGACAAGGCACAGACTGTGTCGACCACTGCTGTCAAGGCCTTCGGCACCTCACTTGATGAGGCTCAAAACATGCAGGTGAAGCGGCCAGGGCAGCTTTGGTTGATTCGGTTTAGTGACGCCCAAGACTCGCCGATGGGGCATGGTCAACTTTCAGTATCACAATCTGTTTTCTCGATGATTTCTGTTTCATGATGAAACCTTGGCAACACGAAAGCACCAACAACCACCTCATAGCCACAGGCAAACATCCGAGGAAGGAGATCCTGGAATCGGCACTTGGAGTCCGCCAAGTCAACTGATTCGCGTTGGACAAAATGGCCACTAGAGCAGCAACTTCGACTGGAACCACTTGGCACATACAACAAAACAGAAGCAAACCATTTGGATTACTAAACATTACTAAACTACAATGCATGACATCATGAAGTCCTGATTAGGAATCCTGTTGTTTGCTTTCAACCCTTTTGAAGTCGGAAAGTGCCTCCAGCACATTCTTGCGAAGCCGCTGAAACTCTTCATTTGACACCTAACCCAGTCAGTTCGGAAGGAAATGACACCTAGCGGGGAGCAATGTGGTAAAGCCATATCAACCAAAGGATACTGCTACGAGTGAAGCGTGCCCCCGCTGTTCTGCGCCACTTCAATGCTCCAGTACTTGTAGCTTTCAAAATGGCACTCAGATTCAGGTTAGCAAGCTTCATATCTGGACAGTTTGTGAGAAACGGATCGAACCCTCCACACTCCCCTTGCGTTGTTCTTGGAATGGTAGACACAAGTAGACAGGCAAGGAAGCCAGCCTGCAGGTACCACCCTGCGGTGGGTGGGGCGGGGCTCATTGGATTCATGAAGCATCTAAATGAATTCGCGAAGGCATCACCGTCCTTTTCATCGCAGCAGCAAGAAAAAGAAGGCGCAAAACACAATACAAGCGCCTCTGCAACTGTCTGCTTGTTTTTCTTGAGCTGTGTTCGTGTCTGTGGGTGTTTCTTGGTATTTACAGTAGATTCGTTTTTGAAGTGTCTAGGCCCTAGGCAGGCGCATCAAATTTCCCACGTTTTTTCCACGGAAATTGCTTGTGTGTTTCGCTACAGCAAAACGCTCATTTTGGATGGGCAAAAAGTTCGGAAAAAGCAAGTTCTGATGATAAGTGATCTGCAGTCATCCAAATGTTCAGCCAAGAGCTCTTTCATTAGAATTGTTCTTAATTCGCAACACTTTGCAAGTCAACGCGCAAGTGTCTTTCACCTGAAAAGCCTGCGCAAAGGAGTTTTCCTCGACTTGAAGGTCATTATCATTACCTGAATTGTTTGTTGGTATTTGCGGTAGATTTGGATGGTGCAAAGAAGCAAATGTAGTCGTAAGAAGTACGTCGTAATACACCAAGGACAACACAGTGAGGTACGCATAAATGTATCCTTACATCGCTACAAGCACGTTATTGCCCCACCCACCCCTCAGACACCGAACAACTATATGAATACGTGACAGGCGCCAGAGCGGCGTATCAGCCGCGGACCAAAAACAACAAGGGCACAAGAGCAGCAGTCTAGCCTTCTCACCCAGTGAGGGGGAGGGCCAAACAAGGTATTGTTATGCGCCAAAACACTTCCAGGTCAACTGGTTTGCACGGGCAGTGGGTGTGGGTCTAGCGCAGAACTAGAATCATGAGGCCAACTTTCTTGCAATGTGGCAACAGCTACAGGTAACAAAAGACATTGTACACAGTTTTGCACATGTTTGCATCTATTTGGGCCGTTCTTTTGGATCAAGCAAACATGAAACTGCATCTTGTGAACTGGATCGACCCCTGTTAGCGAGGGCCCGACCGCTTTGGTCGCCGCCTGCTGAAGCCCAGGATGATTGAGAAAGCTAAGTAAAACCACTGTTTTGTATATTTTTTGTATGTGGCAATGGCCTCCATGTTGGACCTAGCATGCTCCATTGACCAGTTGCGTCTTGTCAGAAACAAGTTCAGACTCCCAAGGCCTAGTCTGTCTGGTATCCTATGCTGAGGACCTTCCAAATGCCCTATGCCTGCGAAGGTGCACTCTCTTCGGCCTGAAGCAGGCAGTCTGTGTCTGTACGCCTCGTTGATACGTGTTTCATTCCGAAGGAGGGCTCATTTGTTCATCGGGTTGCTGGGACTTTTGGCGGCTGACTTACTACTTCTTCGGGAGTCAGCAGTACGCAAGCTGCTCCGCCAAAAGGGCAACTCCATGCTTACTGATGTCCTAGGTACCCAAATGCAGCAGACAGAAATGCCACTGGAGGGCACAGGGTAGAAAACCAAGAAATGACTTTGCCAAGTGATCACCACGTTTTTCTACCTACTGTACGTAGTGAGACATGTGCCACTTCCCGGATCGGCTGACAAAGTGCTTTTGTTGGCACCTTGTTCCCCTCAAGGGGATTGGCAACCTGAGGACGTGCAACAGCTTAAATTCTAATTAAACTTAATTCTAATAGCAAACATTGTTACTACTAGTAAGGCACTTGCTCCTAGTAGCGATGCACTTGTTCCTAGTAGCTTATTCAACATAAATCAAACTCCTGAGTGCCATCAATTCTTATTGGCAAAACATGCGCAACTCCTGTGTAGTCTGCAAGCTGATCTCGGGGCGGACGGAGCTAGCGTGGCATTTCTGCGGAAAGGAAAATCAAAACGTTGCGTTCATGTCTGGATCGCCATCTGTCTGTTCAGGACTAAATTGGCTACAGTATATCACCCAAATCGTCCACTTACAAGCCATCTTCCACTCTCGAGCCCTGGCCATCCACATGATGAGCTGGCCAAGATCATCAGAGCCTCTCAGGCTTGGGTGGATCCTACCGGTGAGAGAACTTATGCAATAAACGTTAAACAGAACAGAACGAAAATTGCACCTTCCCAAATGTTAGCCATGGCTCAACAGAACAAAGGATGGTCTTCATACTCAGTCTCCGTCAGTGTTCAATAGTGCAAATGAACATCTATATACATACGTCTACTGCAATCGATGTGGCGAGGGGCAAGGTCATCTCTACAACGAATATATTTTGGAGTGTGCAGGAACAGTCACCATAACCCCCTCTCTTTTCCGTATAGGGCCTCGTGGTCCAAAGTGCCGCAGGGCTGCCTCCACTTGAGCTTTCGAAAAGCCCATATCCACCAAGGTGCCTGCGAGAGGCCGAAGGAAGGGAGTGGAGTGTGCTGACAATTGGGAGCACGGTCGGGCACGCTGACTGTTCAAGCCAACTTCCATCCTATTAGTGATGGCCTCCAACCTAATAGCGGTCGGCCTAGGGCACAAATTGTCCGGGTAACGCATCGAAGGTTCTCTGCTTGGCTTCTGCGCCTTGAAGATGATGTTCTGGTCGAGGGTCCTCGAAGTGTAGCAGATCGTAGGGGTTCAAGCCCAGCGCTGTCAAGCCCACATGCCCAAAGAAGCACTAGCAAGTTTTGTAGCATGATGACTGGTGTGGGCACTGAAGCTGAAGGTCGGATAGCCTTCGATTCAACAGTTCTGCAATTAAAAAACTGTCCAACCTTTTGCTTGGGGTTCAACATGGCATACAACCGTGCTATGAGCTTGGACTGAGTTCAGTGTAGTTGACCTTTTCATTTCACTCAGAGGTTGAAGGAGCTGGCAGGGCTTCAGCACTCCTTGTCCCTGATGCAGCTCAAGTTTATGCTCAAAGGCATGCTAATTTTCTGAGAAGGCTGGTTCCCTTATTGCCAATATGCTCTTAGCACCTCTTAGCAATACTAGTACTGCTGATTCTGGATCAAACTGCACTTGGCACTCCCTGCCTCTCGTGGCGTGAAACGGGCCGCCTCCGTCGGAAGACCTTCGGTCTACAGCGCGGCTCATCCAAAGAGTCCGGAGTTTAGAGTCCGTAGCATTTACAAAATGTCAGGAAACTACTACTCCCAGTTCATGTTACAAGTTGTAAGACGGTTTTCTTGCAGGGGACGCCTTGGTCGCCTTTGTGAGAGCAATGTGAAAAGCGTATATAGTCCGATGGAGAAGGAGCTAGCATCATCGCTTGACATACTTGAAAAATGAGGGCTGCAGCTAACGGGAATAACTAACAATTGCTGCAAAATGAAGTCGGCAACCATCTCAGAGAAACGCAGCAGTTCAGAACATTCTTTTTCAACTTTGTGATGGAAGTGGACTTCCTGGTGGTATTTGCCGTGTTGTAGCAGTTGCCTGGCTTGCAGAGGTTTGGACACCGACACACCCCCTTGCGCGGAGATGTTGCCTGTGTGGCCGTTCTCCATGGGAGGTGGCGGAGTTGGCACGACACCTGAAAAAAGTGTATCGTATTTCAGAGTATTCTTCGTGCAACAATGCAACAAATTGTTATACAGTTACATAATGTCAGAGAGCGTGAAACTAGTCTTCCAAACCTGTTTGAACTCTTGATCTTGGGTCAGCAATCTGCCTGGGACGCCATCACCTTGTTGCAGCACCTGGAGCCACACCTGACAATCAAGGCCCCTCTGCCATCCCAAGCATTGATTTTGCACCATGCACAAATTGCTGAATCCACTGTCAGTCAGTA